CCCCGGCTATTTACACCCGGGGAAACGAAAGCATTAGCGGAGTCTAAAGTTCATCAATTATCGCGGGCGTGGGTCACCAACGGTGTTGGGTGGGTGGTCATCCTCACTGATCTCAAAAATATGGTGGACTATCACGAATAGCGGACACTGATTGGTCCAATTTAAAGTTTGCATTATAACGACTGCATGACGACAGCGAAATAGCAAACATTTCTTGATTTGATGATTGATAAATTTCTTGCAAATATATTTCATTTTGCTCGCATTTTTGCAAGATTTTGTAAATTTCAAAAGCTCTCTGAGAAAGAAACTGCGAAAGAATCGGCTAAAAGAAGGGAGCCGACGTTAACGAAGGTAAGTTTGTTTTAAATATTGATTTTATAATGTTTAAAACCCGCCGGGCCGACGGCCTTTGCGTATATGAAACAACTATAAAACAAAACAGCATATAATTCCAGTGTATCTTTAATATTGATTCCTTTCTTATGATATTGAATTTTTTAAATAAAAAAGAAAGCAAAGTTATTTGCAAACTCAAAGTTTATCGATAAAGCCATTTTAAAAGGCAATTTAGTTTTATATTAACACAATAGTGACTTTGAAAACGTTTTGCGAAGCGTTTGTGGTTGAATTTTTCCTTAAATTGAGGCTTATATTACGTATAATAACATACCTAACATATATATGTTGGGAAATTAATAATTTTGTAATTAAAAGTGATATTTTTAGGCGATTTTTCATTTGTAAGAATATTCTTATAAAATTATCGTGTTACCATGACAACTACTTTAGATACTTCATGTTCGGAAAATACAATGGTTTTGTCAGCAAGGCGAGGGTTTCTGCATGCATGTATTTTCTAGTAGTAATAGTAATAGTAATCCCCGAGCCGACGGCGCTTCGCGCCGTCGTGCGAGGGTACTAATTCCCCCCGGCTATTTACACCCGGGGAAACGAAAGCATTAGGAAAGTCTAAAGTTCATCAATTATCGCAGGCGCGGGTGACCAACGATGGGTGGTCATCCTCACTGATCTCAAAAATATGGCGGACTGTCATGAATAGCGGACACTGATTGGTCCAATTTAAAGTTTGCATTATAACGACTGCATGACGACAGCGAAATAGCAAACATTTTTTGATTTGATGATTGATAAATTTCTTGCAAATATATTTAATTTTTGCTCGCATTTTTGCAAGATTTTGTAAATTTCAAAAGCTTTCTTAGAAAGAAAGGGCGAAAGAATCGGCTAAAAGAAGTCAAAGAAGGGAGCCGACGTTAACGAAGGTAAGTTTGTTTTAGCCTAAATATTGATTTTATAATGGCTTTAAAACCCGACGGCCTTTGCGTATATGAAACAACTAAAGAAGACAGCATATAATTTCAGTGTATCTTTAATATTGATTCCCTTTTTTATTATATTGAATTTTTTAAATAGAAAAGAAAGCAAAGTTATTTGCAAGCGAGAATTTGAAATAATTTTATTGCAAACTCAAAGTTTATGGATAAAGCCATTTATTAAATGGCTTAAAGGCAGTTTAGCTTTTTAAAGAACACTTTAAAACGTTTTGCGAAGTGTTTGTGGTTGAATTTTACCTTAAATTGAGGCTTATATTACGTATAATAATAACATACCAGTGCCGTAGCCAGAACGATAATTGGGGGGGGGGCACACATTCATATATCCGTGTTCACATACCATAAGAACAATTGATTTCAAAAGAAATTAATTAACCAGAACACGAATATATGAATATGTGCCCCCCCCCCCTGGCTACGGCACTGCAACATACCTGACATATATATGTTGGGAAATTGATAATTTTGTAATTAAAAGTGATATTTTTAGGCGATTTTTCATTTGTAAGAATATTCTTTAAAAATTATCGTGTTACCATGACAGATACTTCATGTTCGGAAAATACAATGGTTTTGTCAGCAAGGCGAGGGTGTGTGCATGCATGTATTTTCTAGTAGTAATAGTAATAGTAATAGTAATAATTATAATAGTAATAGTAATACAATTGTATATACATTCAATTTACAAAGATCGTTAATAAGAATTAGTGTTTTATATTCTGTTGATTAAATAACGTCTATCTGAAATTATTGTTCTAATACCTATGCTAATTAACTTTATATATTAATAATAATAATATAAAGGTTGCTAAAATCATTAAATAATCAATAAAAAACGTCCAATAAAGAAATTGTTACCAAAATCATTTAAAAATGTCCAATAAATAAGGTAAAAAAGGATCAAATTAATGGATCGTTGCCGATATTGTCTCTATTTCAATATCAATGTCCCCTGGGTTACAGTGTACTCTTCTTAACATTCTTGAGCCTTGTATGCATAGCAGCGCCGATCTAAGGATTGAAAACGATATCTTTGCTCTTAACCACGACATAGTCCTCGAATATGTCTCTCCTTTCTTCTCAGCAAGTAGCTCAGCTAGTCGACAGTGATAGCTCAAGCACTCCTCTCCCATTCCACCAGTTGTGGTAAAGACTAATGGTGTAAATGTTCCCTGTTCAATATATGTAACCCGGTTGTTGTACATACGTTTCTTTTCATTTTCGTGGATACGATAGATCTGTACAGGAGTTAGGTCACGGTAGGACTCTGCATTTGGGTGACATACCCGGATATCAAAGAATGCAGACCTTTGCCTCTCCCAAAAGCCACGTGCATGTACGTCAAGTCGAGCGTCAAGTGAACGATTTGCGCCTGGGTCTAATGGTTCACCATTTATTTCTTGTAGGATAGGTTCAATCTGAACATCATTACAAACAATGTTTAGAAGTTCAGCTTCTAAATCCCGTAATTGGTTGTGGCGTTGAATAATACCCCCCCCCCCCTCCTCGACCGCATATCATAGCATGGTCTACGTTGAAAGGCACTCCACATACGCAGTTTGATGGGATATCACTAAGTGGCCAATCATATCTCAGCTTCAAAGCATCCTTAAAGGCTCAAACTCTCGCTTGTTCAAATTGAAACCCATATCTGAAATTGGCAGAACTTGTAGCCAAGCAGAAGCTCCTTTTTCTGAGGCAAGGTCTAGGATACGTTTTGATTTTGGCGATACTGAGTTGATAATCAGATCAGCTTTCTCTTTTGCGATTTCATTTTTCTCTTTCCTTGCTTTCCTCATCAGTGCTTGTACGTCCGATAGGTCAGGTAATTCATGCATTTGTGATTCAATTTGACGTACCAGTGGACCTTTTACTTGTATAGAGGCTGCGTATTCCTTCGTTGCTTCATGACATGGATTTGGAATTCCTAGACCACCATTTCGTACGGGTAAAGCCAGAATGTCGCGTTCGAGCTGGGTGCATTCATGATCTGTCAACGCCGGTAGAAAGATGTTGAAATTGCATTCTCTAAAGGTTGTATCAAATCTTGAATGTCTGGTAATGTTCGGAGAAAATATGTCCATCGGTGTTTCAGACCAAACGTATATAACGCGTAGCTCGCTTGAGGTTGTGACACCGCAAATTTGGCTAGCTTGGTTACTTCTTCTAACCATCCCTCGATTTTCTCATTAACATATTCAACCAAATATGACCGTGATCCCACAGCTGCTCCTAGATGTTTCCGTCCTTGCGTTGTTATGTTAATTGTTGTTTCCCCAAATGACCCTCTTGCAATATTTTCTTTCTGCGGTTTTACGATCAACCAACATTTCTCACCTTTTGGGTAATAACCATAATCAGGCCCGATTTCAGATAACGTATCCCACCACTTCTTTACCTCTGTTACAGACCCTGCACCAGACCAGTAATAGTAATAATAATAATAATAATAATAATAATAATAATAATAATAATAATAATAGGTAATAGGTAATAGGTAATAGCTAAGGGGTAATAGGTAATTGGTAATAGGTAATAGCATGGTTTCGAGTGCAATTTGGATATAACATGCACTCGTGAGTTTTTCAAAGACCTCAAAATAGCACGAGTCCGAAGGACGAGTGCTATTTGAGGTCTTTGAAAAACTCACGAGTGCATGTTTATCCAAATTTCACGAGAAACCATGCTATTACTTATTAATAATTTGCATAAAAATGTTCGAGACAATTGTAGTTTTAACTTACGCGTTTATAGCGATCATTCCACTGGCAAAGTGTTCCTGGCTTTGTTATATCACATTATACAACGCTGTTTAAGGTAAATGCTTTTCCATTTAAAAATAAAGATAAACGCCATATTTTCCACGCGAAGGCAACTTTTACTTTGTGTAGCGCGACGCCATGTTTGTTTTGTTTTGAAGCAATCTGTGACCGTTACTTCTTTAAACTAAATTGCTTTAAACTGATTGGTTGATTTAATCATCACAATGTTTTTCCACCAATCAGATCAGTTTGTTACAGATTTTTGCACTGTGATTACAGAAAATTGCACTGTGATTACAAAAAATTGCACTGCGATTACAGAAAATTGCACTGTGATTACAGAAAATTGCACTGCTGTTTGGGATTAACTTGAAATCAACCAATCACAGTCGAGTAATATCTTTATGCATATTATTATAATAGTAATAGTAATAGTAATAGTAATAGTAATAGTAATAGTAATAGTAATAGTAATAGTAATAGTAATAGTAATAATAATAATAGTAATAGTAATAGTAGTAATAGTAATAGTAATAGTAATAATAGTAATAGTAATAGTAATAATAGTAATAGTAATAATAGTAATAATAATAATAATAGTAATAATAATAATGGAAACTTTATTTAATAATTTTGTTATATACTAAATATATACAATTGTAAATCTCACTTATTAAGGTAACTTACAATTGGCTATTTGAATCACAACTATGAACTAATAATAATGACAAAACTGAATACATGAAAATATACTAGAGGGCACTCAGAGATTGCATACCTCCACCCGCATAGAATTTTGGTCGTGTGAAATGCAACTAAGACAATAGATAATGAAGGCTGAAGCTTAATGAGGTTTATCATCTCATTATTGTCTTAGTACTGCGTGCATACATTATACACGTCCTAACTACGCATTCAGTGAGTTTTTTTTTAATTGACCGGGAAAAGCAAGACAAAATTTAGTTTATTTCTCGTTCAATTTTTAACCAAATTCAACCAAATTTTAATCAGTTCTTCCTCAGCCGATGGGAAAAGCATTCAAAAAATTTCGTATGAATATGTTTGGTATTTCTTGAGTTATCGTGCTCACAGACAAACACACACACATACAAACCCAGATGATTACATAACCTCCTGGCGGAGGTAATAAATATACAAGACAGTCAAATATTTCAAATAGTTAACAAGTCCGGACTTTCCCATTCCTTATTTCGACAGCAGAAAATGTAATAAGTACTTCAAATGGCAATAGTCATCATTTTCCTAACACAGTACGTTCGGTAGTTTTTGTCGAGACCAACATTTCCTAACATTTCTAAGAATGTAGAGCATTCTTGCGCAAAAATACCCAGGGAGCTCATGGAAAGATTAACAAAGTTTACTTCGTTAAACTTTTCATCTAGCTGTCTTACTAGTTCTCTATATTTGGCTCCGTTTAACGTTGTTCTCGAGGTTTGTCTCATAGTCAACAGTGAGCTCGACCACATAGAGAGAGCCATTTGATAATGATAGCAACAAATCCGGGCGATACGTATCAGCGTAGAGGGCAGAACCGTTCACAGTTTGCAAGGTATTGGCAAGAAAGTTCAGGATTGAATTGTGCCTCCACGTAAATCGATCGAGATAACACTGACATCCAGCGACGACATGCAGTAATGATTCTGGGCCGAGACAAAAGGAGCATTCTGAACTTGAAGACAATCCCCATCTGCTAAGGTTCTTACGTGTCGGAAGAGAGTTATTGATATAGCGTATAGTAAAGTTATAAATGTTTTTCGGAAGTTTTCGGAAGTCAACGCCTAGTTTGTCCCAAGGTCGTGTGGGTAGAGGTGGTTGCTGCAGAGGTTCTTTGGAATTGACAGGAAGAAAAGTTCGACATTCAGACGTGGTAGGGTTTGAAACTGGATGGTCCACTTCGGTCGGTTTGTTGACACATATCTGAGGGTTGTTTTCTGATGCGTCGCGGGTATTCACTGATGAGGGATGGTTAAGGTTCTGAAGTAGTGTAGAAATGGGCCAGTCATCATCAATAACACCGAGTGCATGACAGGCAGGAGAACCAAGGATAATACCAGCTTCACCATGAATGATATAGAACCACTGATCAGCAGAAATGGTAGGATTTTCTGGAGGCCACGAAATCTTTAAGAGAACTCGAGCTTCGACATCCAGGGTATGACCTCCAGCGGTCTTGATGGAACTACATTCAAGATTGTATGACCACTCAGGAGTGTCAAAACGGGTAATCCAAGCATAACCGACACAGTTAATGTTGGAGCCAGGATCAATCATGCATTTTTGCTTCCAGTTGTGGCTACCAAGTATAAAATCAGTGTAGTAGTGCTTACCAACACTAGGAATGGTGATGGCTTTGACAGAGACATCAGAAGTAACGGATAGTTCTTGATCAGCTGAAATGACTTTAAGAGTTGGTTTAGCGGCGGAACCAAGCTTAGAAGATTCATCAGTAACTTTCTTGTCAGGATCAACAGGGTCAGCTGTTGGTTTAGAGGACTTCGGGCACATGACAGATTTAGTCCAGTGACCTTTGTTTTGACAATCCCTACAAACAGAGTCCTTTGCAGGGCAAAATTCCTTCTTGAAAACATGATACTTCATGCAAAATTTGCATTTTCGCAAATTTTCATCCCTTGTAGGTGGAGACTAGCCCCCTCTCCCAGTGTTATAAGGAAATTTCTTTTGTCTGTATGTAGAGGCTCCAGTCTTGTTAACTTTAGTTAAAAACTTATCAGCTTGGGAAGAGGTAGCTTCATCTACTTGGAAATATTGTACAGCTTTGTCAAGAGTAAGGTCTTGAATACAGGGAAGTCCCTTTCTTATATCATGAGACTTTATACCGGCCACGAGACGTGCCAAGAGAATTCGGTTCTTACACGACATTCGTGTTGAGCTCTGGCAACAGTCCTTGTATTGACATTTATTTAATAGTGTTTGTAGATCATTGTAAAACTCGTCAAACGATTCATTCGAGCCTTGTACTCGTTTGTGGAATTCATATTCATGCACAAATATATTTGAACTGCCACATACCTGGCGTTGAAAAGGTTCAATGAGAGTTTGAACATCTCGTTTGAACAAAGAGAGCTTTTTGAGTTTCATTTGAGAGTTCATAAAACCGAGTAATCGTCATAACAGAGTCCCATCGCTGTTTCCATATCTCAAATCCTTCAGGAGAACAGCTGCTAATATCAAGTTTAGTAAGTTTTCCGATTTCCGCCGAGATAAAAGGTAGATTAACACTTGTTCCAGAGGCGCCATCGCCAGATTGTTGAGAAGACTTTTTCGGTGGCATTTTAGACAAAATTACGGCCGAGAAACTCGAATAGTCGAATTTCCCTGCTTCCTTTAATCCATAGAAAACACAAGAAACATTTAACTTTCACTATGAAAGCAGGATTGATCAGGATTGATCAAGATATTTTCAAAAGAACTGTCGACTACGCCATGTTGTATTTTAGAATAATTTATTATAATTTATATCTAATTATTTACAATGTTCCTAATATATTATATAAGTATAAGTACTTCATGTAACATAATGTAAAAGCAATAATACCACAACGATAATAATAATAATAATAATAATAATAATAATAATAATAATAATAATAATAATAATAATAATAATAATAATAATAATAATGATAATGGAAACTTTATTTTGACATTTTATGTATATACAATTATAAATCTCACTAATTAAGGTAATTTATAATTGACTACTTGAACTATTAATTATTGATAAAACTATATTACAGGTATAAAACTAAGAGAAAGCTCATTCTTAAATGTTCATCAAGTCGGGATCGGTCCAATCCTTGTTTCTACAACAAAATACTATGATATAGTACGTTGTTCTGATGGCGATGGACATTATTTTCTTAACACAAAAGTTCTGATGTTTTTTATCAAGACCAACTTCGTTCAACATTTTCATAAACGTGCTACATTCTTTTGAGAAAACACCTAAGGCACTAATAGACAAATTAATAAATTTGACAGTTTTGAAATGGTCTTTCTGCTGCGTAATTAGATCCTTGTATCTTTCCCTTTTGCGATCGACGTTGTTTTGGAGATTGGATTCATATCCGACAGAGAGTTCGAGTATGTACAGACAATCATTTGAAATCGAAAGAAGCAGATCTGGGCGATAAGTGTCACCGGTTATTATTGATGGGCTCTTGTATCCAGGAAGATCAACAAATAGCGTGGAGTTGTGTTCAGGTTGGAATATTTTTGCGACAAAATTGAGAATGGAGTCATGTCTCCAAGTAAATCGTGGAAGGTATGACTGGCATCCCGCGACTACATGCAGAAGGGTTTCAGGGTTCAGGCAGAGGGAACAATCCGAGTTTGACATTATTCCCCATTTTGTGAGGTTTTTGCGTGTGGGAAGAGTGTTGTTGTTGTAACGGATGGTGAAGTTATAGATGCTTTTTGGCAAGCTGGATTGAGATTTGGACCATAGGTTGTTTAGTGTAGACAACGAGAACTTGGCGATGTTAGAGAAAAAGGAGCCTTGGAGAAGCAGATGATTTTGAAGCTTGTCCTCTTGTGCAGATTTGAAACTTTTAAGAACTTCCTTTGTTGAGGTGTAGACGTCGTATTGTATGTTAGTATTGTCGCAAGTTGATTTCCATAAATTTCTTATACAATCATTTGGAGAGGTTTTCAAGGCTTTACGAGAGACTGTTTGACACTGAGTGAACTTGACGGATGGAGGGTATATATTTAGTCCAAATTTACTACTTGCGAGGAAGACATTACTTAAAGTTCCAGATACGGGTATTTCAAGCCATTGCCGTACGAATTTATTAACTACTGAGTCCATGTTTTCAGAAACCCACGTTTTTGATAAGGTAGCGACAGTAAAATGCCAGGAGAATTTCGATAGGAGATAACGACTATAGAGTAAAATTTTGTTCTTTGGGTGTAGCGGTTTGAGGTCAATTTCTGACATGATATCTTCAAGGAGGGTGATTAGTTCTTGTTTGTGATCTTTGTCAGACATATTGAAATCAAAATATTTCCCTAAGTATCGGAAAGACTCTTCTATTTTAGTGGCCGGTATTAATTTATTGTCAATGAGGAGTCTTGGTAGGTATTGGATTGATTTTGTCAGACTTTTCTTAATGCCAAATGTACTACATTTGTCGACTGGAGTAATCATGTTTGACCATTGACACCAGATTGAGAAGCGATTTAAAAGGTGCTGATTTTCGCACTCTTGACCGCTAATAACGGCTGCATCGTCAGCAAACTGGAACCAATGGATTGGATTTAAAAATTTGGTCATGAAACCAGCTTTAATGTGCTGAATAAAGGTGTTGAAACAGATATTCAAGTACACCTTGAAGTACACCTCGGCCAACAGTTATGAATATTAACTATGGTTGAAGTCAGTATACAAGCTCTTGATAATTTCATTAATCTGTTCGGGAATGTGATGATAATCGAGGACAGATTGAATGAGATTATGATGCACTTCACCAAAGGCGTTTTTAAGGTCAAGAAGGGTGATGACAACACAGCGTTGTTTTATTCTCGCTTGGTTGATGATGTTTGTCATTTGAGCTGTGTGTTCCAAAGTGCCAGACAAATTGGGAGTGAAGCCTTTCTGAATCTTTTGTTCAATGAAATTATTAGCCGTTAGAAAGGAGAACATGGCGTTGCGAAGATATGAGGTAAACACTTTTAAGGGTATGGATTCCAGAGTAATAGGACGGAAATTGGAAGGGTCATTTGTATTTCCCTTTTTGTGTATAAGTACAGAACATGCTTTTTTCCATTCGGCAGGTACATATTTTGAAGACCAAACGCTACGTATTACTTCTGTCAAGTACGTACGAAGAAATGGACATCGTTTAAAGCAAATTATTGAAAGTTGATCGAGCGGGCAAGGTGAGGCGCATGCTTTCATTCGGCGAATTATATTTGTAACTTGGCGATATGTTGGGGGTTCAAGGTCAAAATTGATGACGGGTTCGGATAACTTTGGAATCCAGCTGGGAATACAGAATAGTTTATGTGTGTTAATTGCGCTTAGAGTTCTCTTGAAATATGTCAGGCATTCTATCATCGAAAATGTGGGAAGTAGGGAAGTGTTCTTATTCAGGATGTTTTTAACGTAGCCCCAAAAGTTTCTACCAATGTAATTGTCGTGATTAAATACTTCATTGTGGGTTTGATTTGTCTGGTCATCGAGATTGTTTTGCCTGGCATTACGCAATTTCTCACGCAATGTGCGAGACACGTATTTAATTTCATGAGGTTCGGCGTTTGAAAGTTTTAGTTTTTTCAGAGATTTCTTCAACTCCTTTACTGTTTGGTCTCTGTACTTATCCACCAGTGCTTTATCCGGAATCTTTTCGGCATGACCGAAGTTATCAGCAAAATAATTGTAGACCACATTATTTAATTGCAAGATGCTAGAGCTTAGATCTTGAGCTCTGATTGGTGCATTTAATTCAAGCGCAAATTTGAAATAGTTATTGGCCGTTGACCATTCTGCGTCGTTTTGGGGGAGTTTTATTCCGTTCTTTAACACTGGGAAATTCTGATTACTTGCGTCGTTTGCCATGGTATTGTTTTCCTCAACAGTAGAAGAATTAAAACTATCGGTAGAGTTCTTAGCCTATAGAGTTCTCAGTAGATTGTTGTTCAAGGTCCGTAAGCAGTTCGTCATTTAATCCGTGTATTACACGACAACTACGTTGATGCATTTTAAGACCCCGTGTTCCTTTGCATGATTTACCACAATAGCATTTCACATCATCAGTATTCGAGATCCTAACAGCAGAATGTATAACCGGTATCTGGTTAACTGTGTTACCAGGAAGATTTTGATTCAACTGTTGTTTACAACGCCAAGAATGGCGGCCGAGTGTAACGAACTCTTTGCCACAGAACGAGCAAACAGCGCAAATGGCCAACATAGCAACAAGGCTTGAACGAATCATGATTTATATCCTAGTAAATCTGATAGTTATAATATTTTTGATTAATAAACTGTGGTTCAAGTAAGAAAATAGCGATAAAACGAACAACATGTACAGAGTGCATATATAAACAATGCTGCTCTGCTCAATGCTGATAATAATAATAATAATAATAATAATAATAATAATAATAATAATAATAATAATAATAATAATAATAATAATAATAATAATAATAATAATAATAATAATAATAATAATAATAATAATAATTTTTTTTTAAACCTTTACAAATCAATTACATAGCCTGACCCATATAGTCATACATTTATGAGTCCAGACCAAATTTTCCCTAACTACACTTAATAAATAAGACAACAGTTCTCTGAATAAGCAGGTCCGTTATCTACACTGTCACACATTAGTAGCTAATAGAAGTTGAGCTTTTCAGGGCAAGACCAGTTCTTATTTCTCTTACAAAATATGTAGAAAGTGGCACGAAGTGCAACCTCCATACATTTTGTTATGATACGATCGTCTTGCAAATTTAACAACCTACATAGCCTACGAAATTGGCCTATACTCTTCGTGACGAAGCCTAGAGTAGTGACTTCCAAAGTTATAACTTTAAATCTATCACACCGTACGAGTAACTGTGATCGCAATGCCCGATATTTTTCTTGTTTACGTCGTCTTGCAATCATGCAGTTCGTTTCATATGGGACAGTCAATTCAATCACATACAAATCTCTTTTATAACGAATCGTAATATCTGGCCTTAACGCTTGAAACAGATTGGACGTACATTTCAAGCCAGAGTCTGGACAATCGGCAAAAATTTCCAGGTCTTCCGACATCACTCTCCTTAAGTGATGAAGAATGGTGTTTAATATAGAATCATGCCTCCACGTATACCGATGTTGTTGTAACGCTACAGGGCAATATGAAAGAACATGAAGTTGTGTTTGAATTTTGTTGCAAAGGTCACAATTTGGAGAATCTCGAATGTTCCAGCGCTTGAGGTTAGAATTGTTGCTCAAGTTAAGCACTAGAGCCCGTCTTGCAAAACAATAATAATAATAATAATAATAATAATAATAATAATAATATATTTTTTTTTTTAATAATAATAATTACAACTTTATTCATCATTTCATTATATACAACAATGCTTTTGTTATCAATGACTATATTATATAATCTGTTCTTTGGGTATAATTAAAAAAGTGTCTAAATGTTCGTTGATATGTACAGTTAAATTTTAAAAACAAACTCTGGAACATATACCGCTACATAATTAAAATATTTACCGCTAAGTAGCTAAATAACTAAACTATTCCGCTAAATAACTAAACAATTAAACTTTGTATATTGTACAATCTAAATTGTTTGAGAGATAGCACTCTCGGCGTTCTCAATATTAAAATCAATGTTCCTAATATCATACATGATTTTCCTTGCCCTTGAACCCCTCAAGCAGGTAAGTGCCGATCTCAATAAGGCGAATGAGGTTCTGGCTCTTATCCAACTCATAGTTGTCGCATAATCTTCTCCCTTCTTTATGGCTACCAACTCTGCCAATCGACTATGGTATCTCACACATTCTTTGCCCATATCGCCTGTGGTGGTGAATACGAGTGGCGTAAATGTTCCTTGCTCTATTTCGAGGACTCTCCTTGCATATAGGCGCTTCTTCTCGTTTTCGTGTATCTTGTAGACTTGGCGTAGCTCCAGGTCCTTGTACGAATCAGCATTGGGATGACAAACCCTTATATCAAAAAAGGCTGATCGTTGACTTTCCCAGAACCCACGCGCACGAATGTCGAGTCTAGCATCAGGTGCTCTGTTGGAGCCTCCATTTAGTTGCTCTCCCGAGATGTCTTGTAGGACAGGCTCAACTTGGACTTCACTACAGACAATGTTGAGGAGTTCCGCTTCCAGATCTCTTAACTCATTGTGGCGCATAATTACAAAGCCTCCACGTTTGCAGATCATGGCATGGTCAACCGTGAAGGTATCCCCACATACATATATGGAGTGGATGTCGTCGATTGGCCAATCATAGCGCAGCTTTACGGCGTCCCGAAATTCTCTCTTATTCAAGTTGAATCCCTGTTCTTTTAGGGGAAGGTGCTGTGATCGACACAGATGATCCTTTTTCCGAAGCCACATCTAATATACGCTGAATTCTTGGTGGTGCACTCTCTCTAATACGTTCTGCCCTCTCCTCCCACTCTTGCACTCTTTCTTTTCTAACGGCTTGTTGCGCTGATTTTATATGCGACTCGTCGGGTAGCTGATGTAACTGCGCTACAATCTGATCAACAAGGGGTGCTGTCACTCTTTTTGACGACACATACTGACGTTCTGCCTCATGACTTGGATTTTCCAAGCCCAGGCCACCCAGACGTGCTGGAAGTGCTAGAATGTCCCGATCGAGTGGATTGCACTGGTGATCTGTGATAGCGGGGATGAGAATCTGCGATATTGCCTTTTCGAGTGGCTCTAGTAGGTCCTGCATGTCTGGCAGGGTTCTTAGGAAGTAGGTCCAACGATGTTTCAAACCAAATGTGTATGCGGCATAGCACTCTCGTGAACCTAGCGCTGCTCCCAGATGCTTCTGCCCATGCACTGTTACATTGATATCCGTTCCATGGAAGACTTCTCTCACACTTTCTTCCTTTTCGGGCTTAACAATAATCCAGCATTTCTCGTCTTTCGGAAAATATCCCAAGTTTGGACCAAGAGTATTCAATGCATCCCACCAATCTTTGATTTGTGTCACACGACCAGCTCCACTCGCATCGTCTGCGAACCAACACTGCTTCACGGTAGATGCGGCCTGTAGACTCGTGA